AGCATTGAGGGAACTAAAACAAAAAGCAGTAGCTGATAAAATAGACATGGAGAGTAAGTTCAAATGGGTGTCATTAAATAATTATTGGTCTTTTATCATATCCATTTTTAGAGCATCCTGCTTGTAAAATTTTTGCTCCTTATACCTCAAACCAATCTCTTGTGTTTGCATTACCTCAGTTTACTGCATTGTTATGCTTAGAAAAGCTAATAAAAGAGATACTGCTTGCTACCAATGTACAGGGAGAGGATCTGCTGATTCAAATAAAGGAAGCTGTTTGCATTGACTTTGAGAAACTTCAAGCATTTGCTGAGATCTTATGCAAATTCAAAGTGACAGCTGACATGGGAAATGCGATTACGAAAGAATACAGTAAGTAGCTATGAAGACTGGCTATATAGACTAGTAAAATGATTGTTCAATAGGAGAAGCTTATTGCAGTGATGATCTAATTAGAGCAAATGATGATCGTGGTAAGAATTAGAATTTATTTTGATTATAACCATCATTAATTTAGCTAAAGGGCTGAAGATTTACCTTCCTACAAATGTTACTTCAGAGTTTAAGACGATGCGATTAAATTTAGGCCAAACATTCTTTGATGTGGGATCAATCATGATGAACAACCCTCAGTCTCCGTCCCTTGATAATATCAAATCTGTATTGCGTACCTACGACAAAACATTAAGACCTCAAGTGGCTCAGTGTCAAGATATCCGTGAACTTTTAGAATTAGTTTGTGATAGCTGTCAGCTTGATGATATTAGTGTGCTAGAGTATTTTGTTAATAAGTTCAATATAGAGGAGGCTAAGCCAGTTATTGAGGCATATAAAAAAGCTATTGATGAGCTAAAGGAAATGAAACTCAGTCGGTGTCTGAATGAAACATTTTCACATGCTTCGCCACTTGAGTGTGAAATCGTTACCATTTTTGTTGATGAAGTTGCTAACCAGTCAGTGCTTAATGATGTCAAAAGGCTTTCATTGGCTGTATTTAAGGATTTCTCACAACATGTCAGATTAAATGTCATTAGAGATAGCAATTCCTTTACCATCACTTGTTCCTTCCCTTTGATTCTATCTGAGCAGTTAATTACAACTGCTCTTAATAATATTGATGTACTGAAAGAAAACAAAGTGAAGAGATTAACCATTGGATACTACACTGTGTATGAGGTAAATAGACTATTTTAAAAACTATTATTTTATTATTAATAACAGGTAAATGACACCTCCACTCCTACTAAATGTGGTTTAATGAAACAATTGATGCTGTCATTGAGTGTACAACTGATCAATAGAACAGAGGAGGTTACTACTTTAAATGAGGTATGACTATATAAGCTCTTCTAATAA